AGTGTGCTAAGTCGGTTACTCTTTCTAATATACATTAAAGGGGCCCTGCAACACTTTTGAAATGGATGTCACTGTTGGCTCATGATGCCTCACAAATCACATACCGAAATATTTTTTGAATATGCCAATTACAAGCGGAATTCGAGGAATTTGTTGAATACTTCAAGCGCTTTCTCTTTTCGTAAAAGCGAGTGCACTGAAGGCAACTTGGGTAGGGACACAAGGGGGCAAAAAGATGCACCCTTTTGTCAGCGCACGTCATGACCTTGAGCACTTTCCTTTTTTTTCTTAGAATGCATGGCTACTTTCAGGGTGAGCACAAGCGCTGGCACATGGCAGCAGTTGCAGTGGCCACAGTATTTGCATAGCCTATGATGCTCAAATCAGTCAATGGCTGTGGACTCGGGTATGACACAGTAATCCAGGTATAAGGCATCACCTGTAGAGAGATGAGGGAGCAATTGCTGGCCCACTTTGAGAATTGTGAATTTTAGACTGCATGCTGCACTCTAATGTTTGGCTCATGTGCTTTTGGGAGCTGCGACTACCAATCAGCAGCGTTTTCTGACAATGCTAAAAAAGAAAGTGTTGCAGGGCCCCTTTAAGGACTTACCCGCTGACCTTTCATCCTTGATTTAGTTACATGACAACAAGTCTATCACCTATTGCAGTATTAATTTATGGGCTAGTTTTTCTTTCTCTTTTTTGATGATCATTTCATTTCTCAAATTACCTTAACTTGATGTTCAGGTAGAGTGCAACTCGGCAGAACTCACTCATTGTACGATTAACAATACCATTATTTCAGCTGCCCCTTTATACAAATAAATATCTTTGTGTTTACCTTTCATCAGATTTATCCTATACTACGGCGTGTAGCAGCTATCTCAGCAAAAGCTCAATCTGCAGGTTACCTCCATAGAAACTTGTGCAATGCATCTTCTAATGTATATGCATTATCATATCTTATCTTTACCCACATTTAGAGTAAGCTTCATCTACATGGTCACCATAACGAGATTATCGAGTCCATATGTTGGAAGCCATTACAAATAGGGCAGGCAGATTCACCTACAATAAAACATGACACCATAGAGTTTCCTAAATATACACTAGAGAGAACTCTTGGCGATAGTGTCTATAGGAACTACCATGCATGGCAAATCAGCGAGCAAGGAATGATGCGTAGTACACGGATTCTTCCAATCTTCATACATCTGGATTTGTGTGTATTCGTGTGGCTTGGAGTTGTTTTCTCACAAAACGAAAATCAGCAAATATTCAGTGATCGCACTTCACCACGTTATTTTTTTAGGCTTACCATTTCAAATCAGGTCATGAAGTTCAAAAAGTTTCTTTTCTTTGAAAGAAAACCGAAACCAGCAATAAATGAAGCCACAAGTGGGGTTCGCCACCCGCAAGTACGAAGAGTAGGCAAATCTGTGTACTACCCATCATTCCCAGGGTCGCTGAACGATCACAGTGCCAGAGTCCCCTCTAGTTAATTTTAGTAAACTATGCATGACGTGGCCCAGCCACATCACTGCTCTTATGTGTCTCTTTCACTGGTAGAGTATTGTGATGAATTTTAGTACTGCTTTATCCTCCTGTGTACACGTCTTGGCACATTCACAGCACAATTAGTTTCATGTGCACTCATGGTTACACGCAGGCATTTAAGTTGTCATTACAACCTAGGCACTTGCATATTCGAATCAGTCTTTTGTATCACATTGCATCTAACTGTAATTATAAAATTTTTAGTAGACTTTCAGTGATAATCTGATTCGTTACATGTTGGTATTGTGTAACATTGTTGCCCCTTGCCATTTGTAGTTTTTGTTTTACTGTTTTTTCCTTGTATTTTTTATCTGTCTTTCAGTTACTGATGTCCTCCTATCGGCGTGTAAGGTATTTTGAATGAATAAATAAACTGGCTTTTGGTCTTCTCACATTCAGGGCACCAGCCTATGATAACTACATTCTACCTTGCCCCTAACTTCTCTCATGTGCATTGCCTGGGTCCCAGGATTATATAAAATCTACCACTCTGTTTCTCTGTGAGGACTTTCCATATCCTCTTCCTATTTATTTAATTTCAGAAAAAGGTGTTCATTATGTGCAGTTTATTTCATTCTTCTAACATGTGTATTATTTAAGGGTGTGTGAATATTTATGTTTAGCATTATAATTGAGTGCTTTGGTTCAACTTTCAAATACAGGAAAATATCTAAAGTGTCTAAACACAGCCTAATTGCGCAACTCTGTTAGGGTGGTGTCCAAAAAACTAATGCGAAAGTCATTACAGTAGGCTTTAAAACTCTCACTGACACCCTGGTTTTAAAGCCAGCACATATTTCCCTTGAGATTATGCCAATCCTGCATGTCGTGGCTCCAACAAAAAAAGGCAGGGAATGAATGGAAGACTGTTGTATTGCAAGCAAAAAAAAAAGTCAGATCTAGTCAAGAAACTAAAAATTACTTCACTGAGCTTGTGAACAAAAGAAAGGTTTGAAATACTGGAAAGAGTTTTGAACTGCACTTTATACAGGTATTACAAAAATTGCTTTCTGATACGTTCTCATCAACTGAGGTGGCCAGCGACCGCAGGTTTTTTGGCTGCTTGAAACATCATGAGATCACGACGAGAGCCTGAAGACTTGTAATGAGGCATGACTTTTGTTTCTTTATGACAATGTGTTTGACAGCAGTTTCTCACCATGCTGTGTGCTCGAGGACATGAGCAAATTTGATTTTCTTAGTTATTTCTTTTAATTGTCAATAAAACCTTTAGTATTCTATTTGATATTTTTCGCCGCTACATGGCACTACTTGATCCAAGATAAAGTTCTAGTTTCAACCCTAAAGTTAATATTGTAGCTCATCATCTCACCTTTCTGTTTCCTATCTTCACACTGAAGTCTTTCATGACTATGGTGTACTGAGTATAGTTCTCTTGCATTGCATATTCAATATACTTGTCTATTACTCCTTCTTCACAGTAAAGGGCAAACAGAGGAGCGAACGCCTGCACCACTTTAAGTTTATATCTCATTTAGCTGGATGACTAGGATTGCTGGCCCTTCACAGACAATATGCAATTCTTGAATGTTTCCGGCAATGTTTTTATGAACTAGAAGCCCCATGCCGCACTTTTTTATCGAAAAGCCCTCTGTAGCAGTGTGCCCATTAGTGCTGTATGTGCCTTTCCAGTTCTAATATCTCTAAGGTCAAATATATTCCACTCGAAGTTTTCCAAATCTTGAAATAACTCTGCTAATCTAACTGCACTTGAGAAGGTACTTGTGTTCAACATTGTGCAGGACAGATAACCACAGGTCAGTTAGAGCTACAGTATAGATACCAAGGGATGAATGCCATAGGCAAGGATGGCAGCGGATCGATAAAGTCACAAAATTTGAAAGTTCACTCACATAAAGTGAAACCAGCTTCCACAGAATAGGGCTAGTTGCATATTATTGGCAGAAGCCTGACCTAGAGTGTACATAAAATAATAACCCAAAAATGATGAATGGTGATGACTTGCTGGTATCTAATGCTAATATGGAGTGATGCAACAAGACTTATGAATTGTGTTAAACAATATGCCAGGCCTGCACAGAAGACTGAGCACAGTCACAGCAAAAACTAGAAGAGCGGCCTTTCAAAGCCTTTCAAAACACTCATTGGGTAACTACTGCAAGCAAAGATGCATGATACCCACTAGGGTACTAATAATAATATTTCTTGGGTAGTAAGTCGACATTCACTATGCTATTTTTCGTCATTTTTCTGAGAGCGTGTATCCGCTAAACACTTGCAAAGAATTTTGAGCCAATTGTTCATGCAGTGGCTGAGTACGATGAGGAATAATAGCTGAAGTGGGTCTGTGCCACAGTTAATAGGGGAACAAGAACAAACTTTTGTAATTGGTTGGGGTATTGGATGACCCCCTCGTTACACTATTCGCATTGTGCGGCGACTGGTTGTTCTTTTGCCGTTTTAAAACGCTTTGTAAGTCGTATTAACGCGATTGCTTTTCCGACATTAAGCCTTCCTAAGGCAAGTTTGCCAACAAGTCCTAAGCACCGGTGTGGCTCAGTGGTGGAATACTGGGCTGGCACCCAGCGGATCTAGGTTCGAGCCCTACTGTGTCATTGGTGGTAGGTTTAATTTCGAGCGATGTGGTTAAGGACACCGATGGCAGTGGCGGACAACTGCACGTGACCCGAGTTGTGATGACATAACAGCTTTCGCTGTAAAAAGTATTGAACTTTTCTGATAGCTCGCCAACTACCAGAAGGAGCGGGCTGCAGCTACTAATTCCACATAGTGGCAGGTTTCAACCAGAACTGTCATTAGCCCTGTTTCACTCTGACCTTTGGTTTGCACGCTACAGCCGCTAAAGTGAGCACATGGACTAGATTTTCTTTGAATTAGTGCCCAAATGGCAAAGAGCTGGAAGAATGATGTGTGTGAAGTACAGCTAAAATTTGGGAAAACTTTCACATAAAGATTTGGTTGCTTCATCAAGCATACGGGGAGCATTATAGAAGTTGTACTCAGTGCTATAAGTGGTTAAAGCATTCTGATAATGACATAATGTAGATCAATAACGATGTCAAGCCTGGACGACATTGTACATAAACAGATAATGATCACGTTAAGAGTTCGTGCAGTGATTTGAGGATATCTCTATTGACTGTCGAGAAATTGCTGACGAAGTGGGTGTTAGAATAGGTTAATGTCAAGAAATTTCATTTTATTTTATTTATTCCAAACATAAACTACATTGACAGATGCCATTTCCAAACAATACAGAAGGTCCTGGACAATACAAGAAGATACTTCCAGGCCATTAGTGCATTCCAGGAAGCTTACCAAAAATGGAAGAAATGATTGGGACACTGTATTGCCAGTAGAGGGGAGTAGTTTGAGGGAAGCAATGCTTCAAATGTTGTACCACAAGCAGTGAAAGTGTGAAAAACATTATTTTTTTTACACATTTCGTATATGTATGCAACTTGTGGGAGTCGTTTCAAGTTTCATGAGTGCTCGTACACATGTGGGGATAAACAAAATGGCAGCTACCTTGGGTCAGAAAAACGAGTTGAAATTTCCCAATTTTCTAAAGCACTTGGTTCAGAAAAATGTGACTGTGGCAAGGAGTTACAAGTGTGTAGCAAAACATGTGGTACTTGAAATAATACATATGTTAATCTTGATAATCATGCTCCTTAGATGATTGGAACCAAGCCACTCTGGGGAATTGGCCAAGATTCGGGCAGATGATTTGATCTTGAGTACCTGGATTCATACTAGAAATTATGGCATCTGGTAGAATGAAGTTATTCTTAATTACTAAATTGTTCACTTTGATTAGTCATCAAGAAACAGAAAAAACACATGCAACAAATCTGAGCTTTGCAATATAAGAAATACGCTCTACGTAATGATTTTGAGGAGAAGCGAGGTACAACACACACTGAAGGGGCATTATATGCACTTTGTTGATGCTCTAGCTGATGACAAAATTATGACTGAGCCATTTGTAATGGTTGGGCAGCTTTAATCGCCCACTTGTTATGTAACTTGCCATGTATGGCACCTTGTTGTCTTATTCTTCTAGCACACTATATAACCTGTGTTATATAACACAGGTTATACAAATACGACAAAAACACAAATGATGAGAAAACACTGACAATGAACAGACTAGTGTAGTGAAAGATTCAGCAATGTATATCACAAGGCTGTTGTTTCCTTTGACTAACTGTTAAAGCCAACACTGTATCAATTGTAAGAGTACAATAAAATAAGATTGTTTTTCGTTGACTGGAGCTCTTTCGAAAGTTAAAAAAATAATCAAGAACTGCACATGAGAAACAGAGGTGGTTAAACACGAAGAAAAAAATACAGAAAAAAAATTCACGAAGGAAAATTAAGGAGATTTCACACATTGTGGGAATCTATTTCATGCAAAGTAGTCCATAATGATGATGCCTATGATGCAATATTTGGCATTAAGCCAAGTGTCATTGCATGAATGAATGTGTTTTGATAAATCTAGCAGTTTCGTGCTCATCAAGGACTTACCAAAAACCTTAACTACACAGGAGTTCGAAGGGTAACTTATGGTCTGACACATCGGCACTAATCTTACAGCACAGCCGCCAGTTTCATCACAACAAAGTGCATGCTATGGTACGACAATGTGAAGATTGTTTATTAGCATATTCCTACGTGGTCGAGCAACACTTCAATGTAGCTTGCCGAGTCATTTGAAATGTTTATTAGACACACAAAAGTGGAGGCCACCCTGGAAACACAATTGGCATTAACCCAACATGACAGCTGTATTTTAAGTACACATATGTCAAGTTTACTACTTTTTAATCAGACTGGCCCTACAGCCATAGTTAACATTACACTGATATGATGCCTGCATAGAACCTTTTTTCAAAAGCCGTCTCAAGACATGCCGCGGCTCTGTGGTAAAATACTTGACTGCTGTGCAGAATACCGGATTTTGATTCCTGCTAGTAGCCCAATTGTCATTCTTTGTATTATTTTGGTCAATGCTGCCAAAGCCAGATTTTATTTAAATTGCTCAAATTTAACTTGCCAATATTTATAAACTGTCATCACATATAACGGCTTATGCTGCCTGTGACTGGAAAAAAAGGGTTTCATGACGTACATAACAGGACACTCATTGTATACATGTCATAACCAGACAGTCATGTTGGTCATATTGTCTTTCCCCGCTGTGCCTTTTTCAGTTGTACCAAGTTAAGGAGGTGAGCTCGATAACACCCAGATGCAAGCCTCTAGATATATATAAATGCTCAAAGTGCCTTTGTTCTTTAAAGAAATGCTTTGCTTTTAAACGGCTTTCTAACATAAAAAGAAAAGCTGCTCAAGCATGCCACTGACTTACCCAAGGTGAGCAAAAAGCAATCAAACATCTGAGAGACTGGAAGATGCATTGAGTGAGTTACTAAAAGCACAGGTTTTGTATATGAAGAAATATCTGTTTGTGGCACACTGTTTTGCTTATTGTCAATGATATTTACTGTTTGAAGTGAATAAATATGCACCATATGTAAAAAAATAGCCAGTTACAAGTGAAAGCATTTATTCTAATTACATCTGCTATTTTCATTAGTGTTAGCTTTCAGCACCTTTCTGCTCTATTTCTCCCAACCCGCTCATAAAATCTTCAACATTGTTAGGCATATCACTGGTACAAGATTATTGGTTCCATTGGGCACCCCGTGCTGGACCACCATTATCTAGGTCTTCCTACTCCAAAAGTGTGCGTGTGTGTATGCCTTCTGTGTGTCTTCATTTTTAGTGCGCTATTACCATTCCACCTGGGCGTACTCCTAGTCAGCAAAATTAATGCATAAGTTATAAAGCATCAGAGGCAATAGGAACTAGCCACAACATGGTATGGCACTTAAGGCAAACAAGCTGGCATATTGTTTCCTTTAAGCTGCCAAAACTGTTTTCTATTAGGACGCTCATTGCTAAAAACCACTTGCTAAAACCAATGTGTGTATTTCGCAACACCACGCGATCTTTAAAAGTCTGAGTAAGAAGGAACATAGAAGGATGTGCTGCATATCGTGAAGCAAATGGCTCAGCTCTGTTGACATACTTTTGGAAGTTTCATTGAAAGTGATGTTATTTTGAATATTATAGGATAAATATTTTTGCTTAATCTTCTAATACAGATGCTGAAGAATTGCCTTCATAGCTACAGATCGCTTAAAATTTAAAGCTTTCGGTGGAAGGAGTTTCAGTTCATGCAGTTTGCACTTTAATGCATACATGCAGTAATACACTTTTAGTACAAAACTTCCTGGGGTACAAATTGTTTTTTTAAAAAAGAATACTTTGCGCACCTACCATCCTTAATTCACTGGACAGTCGTTCTGTCAGATAGACTCATGGCGAGGAGAATGTCGACCATCCTGTGAACGATCCTTTGAACGGAGCTCTTCAAGCGGCTTGCCGCCTCTCTCGCGCTTGTTTTATTGGCTTCACACTAGCGCATACATAAGAAAACTTAATTCCTAGAGAAGAAAATAACGCTGGCCTGGATTATGACGTCGGGCGTTTACTTCAAAAAAAAAAAAAGTTCACAGCAAGAGAGCACAAGCGCGTTACGCAAACGTAGCTTGAACTCACCAGATAAATGCGAGTTTCTGCAGATCGCGCGGGCACTCGCATGCGGTTGCTTGTAGTTGACGAGCACGTACGCGAAACACAAGTGCTCACGACAAGGCAGAAGTTTGCGTGCAGAAGGCGCCCACAACACAGTATTTCTTTTTCATTTTCCTTTTTCCTACAATACTTCCACTTCGTGATGTGCGGTACCTCGTCGTCCCTCGATGGCGTCCAAACGCGCTTAGAACATCTCGATGGGCAGGCAGATCATAAGCCCTAATGATCGGTGGTACAGTACCTTAGCAGCATCACAGTCAAACTACAAACTAAACTGGCAACTCTTTCCGAGCTGCTCCTACCAGAAACAAAGGTGCACGGAGCGTCGTGTTTCCCATATTGGCTTCCTTGAAGTGGCAACAACGCGCAGGCGCCGAACATGCCGCACGTAAAAGTGCGCAGTCCGGCGCGCACCACGTGTTCCTCCGTGGCGCGCACTGAGTTGTTTTTTCCTCCATGTTTGGCCGGGCGTGTTTCGCGGGCGCAACAGGGCGACGGCGCAACCTGGAAACGAGAGTACGGCGCGGAGGCCGTTGCTAGGCACACGTCATGGCGGCGTCTCTGCGAGAGTGTGACCAATAGCGCGCCGCTGCGGTTGCCATGCGTTGAACCTTCTGCAGATTACAAATGCGCTGCCGGGTTGACCCTCAACCCCGGTGCCAGTAATATTTGTCGGAGTTTTATATGCCGAAACCAGGATATGATTATCAGCCATGTTGTAGCAAAAGGTTCTGCAAATTACGGCCACCTGTAATTCTTTCACATGCACCCAAATGTAAGTACTGTCAACCGGAAAACTTTGAGGAATGTGGGATGCGGAACGGAGCGGCGGTAAACTGCAAGCATTGCTGCGCCACCTACTGTGACGTGTACGTGTCGAAGTTATCGGTCACGGCTTTCAAGATTACATCCAGGAGCAACGCGTTGTCTAAACGCGCCATTGCTCATCACAAGGCCTCGTGGGGTATCTAGCCTCGAAACCACGGCACGACACAATAGGCAGCGCAGCATTGCACCGTTTCACCCTTTGGTCATCGCTCCAGATCTCGCAAAGATTTACGGGCGACCGTACACGGGCCTAAAGTACTTTTTGCTTCCACCGGAAACGCAGTGTCCACGACCGAAATTCGAACCCGGAACCTTTAGGTCAGCAGTCGAGCTGCCAGAGTGGTGAGCTTCATAATAACAATTGGTTGGGTTCAACGTCGCAAGACCACCATATTATTATGAGAGACACCGTGGCGGAGAGACCAGCAAATATCGACCGCCTGGGGTTGTTCAACCTGCACCTAAATCGAAGTACACAGGCCTCAAATATTCTCGCCTCCATCGAAAATGCCGCGGCCGGGACTCCATTCTGCGACCTGCGAGTCAGCAGTCAAGTACCATAACTCCTAGACCATTGTGTTGTTCGAGAGGTGAGCTTCAAGAACACATCTTACGTGAAGCTCCAGAACTGCCTTGATCGCACGTTCAGTGTTCGATCCTTGCTTCTCAACGTGGTTCCCCGTGTGTTCTCGAGCCAGACGTCGTAGCCATCGTCGGCGACAGCAAATCCTGCGTTGAAGCCACACTGAGCTTAAATGAGCCCTATTTCGAAAGCCATCCTTAGCTACCATCTGTTTTCTGAAGGGTTAGCTAATCTTGACGATTACAGCGCTAATCTGCACATATAAACAAGACGAGACAAAAAGTTAGGCAGTGCTGGCGTCCAACTAAAACTTTCGTAAAGCGTATACAAGACTGCTTTTTTACAGTGCAATTGCAAACACAGACCAGCTGTTGTTATCTAATCAGACGAAAGTTAGCTCTGTGAGATATCAGACACGAGCTTCAATATAAGAGTCTAACTCCTTTTCAGTTTGCGCGATTGATGACACGCTTAAGCAAATGTTTCTACATGGTCAGGCATCAGTAGCTTCAGCTGTCTATCGAGACTCGTCAAGACATTTCTACTTACCAATATTGGCATTAATAGACGCCTGGCACACTTTCACGCTTCTGCCAGGCAATCGTATATTCATTAGGGGGACTGCTTCCACTAAACGACGTTTATATCGTATATGAAAGGGCAAATAGGAAACCACCTGTTTGTAGCACAAATCCACAAGTAAATCGGTAGGAATTTTCCAGAATGAAAAGCCTCTGAGTTGCCGAAACATTTGTCCTAGTCAGGAATTTTATATCGCGTTTATTCACACCATGTTTATTTTTGACGCTGTTTTAACCTATAGCGCCGCTTTGGAACAAAACAGCGTCGTTGCCCAAACATGATCTGGGTTCGACTCACAGTTGAACCGAAGTTTTTTTTCCATACAATTTATTGACAGATAGCTTGATTTTTTGATTGCGGACAATATATTTTGCTCTCAACCAACAACGCTGACACCAGAATATTTATAAAACAACCTGTGTAGTATTATCGCGCGAATACAGTGGACGAATGCATTAGTAGTGAAGCACAATGATATGTCGCATTCTTTAGGACTCAATAATGCTTGTTGCTATGCACTTGGAGAATATGCGATTATGTAAGATACGCTATGACAGAGCAAGCTCCGTTTTGCGTAGCAGAACGGTCTAAGCAACCTAAGAAATATTTCAGTGCTAAACAAAAGTAACGTGGGTACATCGAAGGTCTCATCTAATGAAACAAAATTTTTTGCGTTATGTTTCTAGAAGAACGAAAGTAGAGAAGACCTTCCCTTATACCAATACTCTTTAAGCAGGAAGGTTAATCAAAATTCTACCTCTTCCTTGATACTTTGAAGCTGTTTACCATGTGACACACTCTGGTCTAAGGACAACTCAGCTAGCAACTTCAGTAAACAAGCCATTCAAAATTGTTATAACTTAAGACGAACATTCCGAGTGATTGGTCGGAGCAATCAAGCACCAGGTACGCCGAATCTGCCAGAAGACCCGTCATGACGAACACAGGACCACGCCCTTCACACCATCGTTCCTTAGTGACGCTTACGTGAGCACAGGAGCCCATTCTTCCGTGAGGTATTCGGTGCATCTGTAGAATGTAGCCATCTTCTGTGGTGAACTCATGGGTCTTCAGTGGGTATCCATTATCGCCGATGAGGAATTCCTAGCAATGGAAGGATGCGTAGACATACCTAGATACATCAGTTTTTTTGTCGTTTCAGCTTATGTGAGAGTCAACTTTTCTAAATAAAAAGAAAACCGGCATCAAGACTACTCGATATCCCGTGGGTTACTAATCCGACCTTCCTTAAATTTTGAAAACAGTTAGCCACTAAAAAAAGTCGCACTTTCACAGTTGCAGTAGGTGCAGCATGCTGCCTCAGCTTAAAAGATGCGCGAAAATAACACACACATGACGAGCGCAAATTAAAAGTCTTCACAACTCGACACTTCAAAGTGCGTTGCTCAAGCACAAGAAACGCACGAAACGAACGCACAGGTATACACAAGACAAGCACGAAGTACAAAAGCTGTCACAGCTGTCACTTCCTGTAGCGGCGCACGCGTTTTACAAACATAGCCGCTTGCACCGAGTGAAGTGACGTTCGTGCGCTGTGCTACTTCAACGCAAGCTCCCTGGAGAACGCACAAGACGTACAAAACACCCCCTTCGCAGGAAAGGAATGCTTATACAATAACTACAAAGCGTGCTTTTAGTACCATCTCACTGGTAATGCAGTGAAGCTCGTAACACGCTAATATGCCCTTGAGGTCTTTGGGGCAAAACAGCGTCGTATATATATATTCGCTTTGTTGCTCTGTTTCCCACTGGAAAGGTACATCTTCTCTCGTAAGTTTCGTGGAGGGTTCTGCAATCTGCGAGAAATTTCTGACAAATCGTCGGTAGTAAGCACAGAGACCTAGGAATCTCCGTACTGACTTTTTGTCTGCTGGCACCGGGAACCTTGCAACGGCGGCTGTCTTTTCAGGATCAGGGCGCACACCGTGGGCGTTGACAACGTGCCCAAGGAATCGAAGCTCTTCGAAACCAAACTGGCACTTCTCTGGCTTGATGGTTAAATCTGCCGAACGGATTGCTTCTAACACTGTTCGCAGGCACTTGATATGCTCCTCGAATGTAGCGGCGAAGATGACCACGTCGTCAAGGTACACTAAGCAACACTGCTACTTCAATCCGGAAAGTACAGTGTCCATCATGCATTGGAACGTTGCCGGCGCATAACAGAGACGAAAAGGGAGAGCCTTGAATTCATAGAGTCCGTCCGGGGTAACAAAAGCAGTCTTCTCGCGATCACGTTCATCAACTCTGATCTGCCAGTATCCACTTTTCAGATCTAGTGCTGAAATGAACTTGGCACACCGAAGTCTGTCTAATGTGTCGTCAATACGCGGGAGGGGATATACATCCCGTTTAGCCACCGCATTTAATTTCCGGTAGTCGACGCAAAACCTTAGCGTGTTATCCTTCTTCTTGACAGGTACTACAGGAGATGCCCACGGACTGCTATAAGGCTGAATAACATCACCTTCAAGCATCTCCTGTACTTGATTCTTGATGAATTCCCTTTCTTTTGGTGGAGCGCGGTACGGGTGCTGGCGTACCGGCCTGGTTGTCTCGTCTGTTACGATCCTGTGTTTTGCAATGGTTGTGCGTCGTACCTTTGAACTATTGGAGAAACAGCTGCCAAATTCCCGTACAAGGTCGTATAGCTGTTACCGTTGGATCACTGAAAGATTGGGATTTACGGATAATATGTCGGAGACATCAGATGTTGCTTTCATATCCGTTGACGTTGTTTCAAGGCTGCATATTTCTGTGGCTTCACAAACCTCATTAAGAAAGGCTATGGCTGCCCCCTTTGCGATGTGCTGGAATTCGTTCCCAGAATTTGTCAGTAGGACGTCTGCGTACCTGTTTCGTAGCTGGATAATCCCTCGTGCCACACAAACACCTCTTTTCAGGAAAACATCTATGTTGCTGTTTGCACACCTTCGTAGTCACCAAACGTATCATTTCTGACTAGAACCATTACACTGCTCTGCGGTGGTACAGTCACATTGTCATCGACAATGCGCAGTGGAGTGGTGTATTGCTCGTCTGCTCGAGATACCTTTATAGCTTTTTCCGTCGAAAATGATACGCTGGACCACTGCAAACTATTATAGGTACCATTTGCTTGCAGAAAATTTATTCCGAGT